GTTTAAATTGCTAATATGATTTAACAATTAATAACTATTCTGCATGTAGATATTACAGTACCTAACTATAATAAAACATACATATTTATGCTAATTTTCGTCTAGCTCCCCATGCAATATTACAACATAATGGTGATTTGTTGACTTTTCATTGGATGTTTGTGGATTTTATGTGAACAGCCATGCCATTGTTTAAGCTATATTTCATGTAATATTGATTCCAGATTTAATTTTATAGTACCCATTTTTTACAACTTTTCTAAACTCCGTAGCATTAGCATGTTTTGCATGCTGATTGTGATTCGCACAACATGTGTTGGCATTTGACCTCACAAATTAGAACCACCATAATATTATGCGTACGGGCTTGGAAAGATCGCGCCCTTTATGTTGTTATTATTATTACTTTTTGTTCCAACTTGAGTAGCGGAAACCCCGTCACGTCTTTATAGCCCACACAATCCCGGAATTCGGCTTAATTGGCTTGCAGACTGGGTGTTAAGCTAAAAACACCTTTTAAGTTCAACATCTTTTTACCTTTACGATTTTGAATTATTACACCTTTAATATTAAATTTGGAAAACTTGCATGTCAGTTTCTAAAAATATGAGAAAACATTTTTCTCAAGATAACCAAGAATAATAGAAACGTTTATACCAAGACTTAATAAATAGTATTTATTTGGACTTTCACAACTAAAACAAAATAAACTCGCACATTAAAAAAATGCACGCCCTGGACTTTTACAAACAACACACCTGAACTACAAACAACTAAATTTGAAACCCTTAATATAAATTTAGCAAAATTTCGAAATTACCCACTTAACATTATAATCTTACCACAAGAAGTTGCAAAAACAAAAAGAAAGTTTGTTTGTAATTAAGCACAAAGCTACACAATAGGCTATCTGTTCTAAACCCAGTTTATAGCGTTGTAAGTCCGCTGTGCCACTGGGGGTGGGGGAGACAACCAGAAAGAAAGTTCAAGTTCAAAATTAATCATAAAAATAATATTTTTTAAAAATAATACAACACTTAAAAACACTGGGATTAATTTCGCGTTTGAATTTCAATCAATATCCAACCTATTTCACACCAAGTTTTAGTTAAGATAAAATATGCTCGTGTTTTATATTATAAATCCCCATTAGGTATGGCATGAGTCAAGTAACACAAAACTATTTTATAGTTTCACAGGAATACCATACTTTAGATAAAACGCATGAAAATTCTGTCAGGTTTTTATAGGGGCCGGAATCTTTACAGTAGGTGTCTGTGATTTACTGGTGATAAATTTCAACAATAAATAGACAGCACACAATTCACTTGTTTTAAAATAATATTTTAAACCGTCAAGAAATTAATGTCGCTTTTTGGAACATTTTCATTAACCACCCCACAAAAAAATATACATCACATATAATAGTTAAACGAACTGCCTAAACGTCACGCCAGTGTAACCTCTATAATGTGTAAAGTTTAGTATACTCTAATCCCTTATTTGGATGGCACACTGACAAGCCCCTTCCAGACCCCGCAGCTAAACCCTAATGCAGACATTTTCAGTCCTGTTAGAAGTCACATCCCAGATATTAAAGTCAGCAATAGGGATGATTCAGTACGA